TGGAATAGATAGTGTTACCGTGCCCATTTTATAGATAAGGCACAAAGGCATGAAGAGGTGGTGACCTACTTCCGACATGCTCAGCTATCAAGCAATAGATCTAGGATTTGATCCCCAGCAGTCTTTGATGGCTCAGATGATAAAGAATCTGCCTGTAATGCAGGAGACCCAGGTTTGATCCTTGGGTCAGAAAGATTCCGTGGAGAAGGGAAGGGCTACCCACTCCAGTATTCTTGCCTGGAGACATGGGCAGAGGAGCCTGGCGGGCCACAGTTCATGGGGTTGCAAAGAGTCGGACACGACTGAGTAGCTAACACTTTCCTTTTCACCTTGTCAGTCTGACTCCAGATCATGATACCATGTGGTAGCTTGAGGATGGGAGGGACTTCAGCCTGCTGCAGGAGGGAAATTGAGCCTGCAGGTGAAACAGGAACCCTTGACGTTGCCCACCTTCAGTCCAGTCACATTGCTGGCACCTGCTGTGTGCCCAGCTCATCTGGGAGCAGCGGGGGTCGGAGAGATGGGACTCTGGTCCCCCTCAAGCTTATAGTCTGTTTTGGGGGAGACAGGGTGGCTGTGGAAGAAATAAACAATTTCAGTCAGAGCAAAATGAGGCTTGGAAATGATTGGTGAGAATGGGGTGGAAGCAGGGAGAGGGTGGGGCTGGAGCGGCTAATAAAGCCTTAAAGGATAGACCACGACCTCACAGTTTTCAAGGTCCCTACTGAATATTTCACTTATTTTATGCTCCTTAATTCTCATTTCAATCCTGGAAGGCTCAAAGTCCCCATTTATACACTTACGTTTTCATTGTACTAGTCTGAGGACTCTGAGGGTTGACACTGCTCATATTGCTCTGGCTAAGAAGGGAAAGCATTGGTGCAGGCCACTGAAAACCAATCCCTGGGTTCTGGCTTCAGGCAAGGCTGGACCCAGGGACTCCAAGGTCAGCAGGGCCCTCCACCTTTTAGCTCTGCTGTGTTAGCTTGAATCTCAGGCATGCTGTCCCCAAGTGTTGACAAAGAGAGTCCTCGGTAACTCCAAACTGGTGTCCCTAGTGGAATGGGAGGTCCCTTTCCTAGTTATTCCAGCCAAACCCCCAGGGATGGTTCTCATAGGCCCAGTCTGGGTTGCATGCTGATTCATGATCCAATCAATCACAGCCTGGGGTGAAGGAAGATGTCAATCAGTCATGTCTGGGTCACATACTCAGTCCCAGCAATGAGAACGTGAGGTCAGCCTCATCCAAAGTATGTGGGCTGAGTGTGCGGACGGTGGTTCTTCAAAAGGAAGCCAAGATGGTGTTAAAAGAAGACGGGGGCGGGGAGGCTGGGAGGGCAATGCCAGCTCTGCACATCTGAGGGGTGGGGGCCTCTGCATTTCGGGGAGGGTGAAAGTGTTAGGCATTCACGCTTGTCCTACTCTTTGTGACCCCATGGGCTGTAGCCCACCAGGCTCCTCTGTCCTTAGGATTTTCCAGGCAAGAATACTCGAGTGGGTTGCCATTCCCTTCTCCAGGGGATCTTCCCAACCCAGCGTTGGAACCTGGGTCTCCTGCATTGCAGATAGATTCTTTACCGTCTGAGCTACCAGGGAAGCCCCAAAGTAAAGTGTGCTGAGACATCAAACAGAAAGAGGAAGCAGGGGTTGACTGTAGATGTAGGGTAAGAACAGTTAGATTTTTCAATCACTAGTCTTGGGCGTCTCTGTGATTCCCTATCACAAAAGACCTTTTGTGAAACCTATTGAGGTAATAGGAGATGAGAACCACTAAAGGATTTCAGGTGGAAGGCCAGAACTACATTCCAGAAAAATCTTTTTGGTAGACAGTGAGAAGGATGGATGGCCAGAGGGCTGGGCAGTGAGGTTCAGAGAAGAAGCTGGGATTTGAATTGTCCAGAAAAGGATTTGCTGATGAGCCTGGGTCTGTTGGGGATGGGGCAGAGGGGTCCAAGGGACGGTGGGAAATTCAGTCTGGCTCCCGCAGGCTCGGCTGACATGATGTTATCTGGGTGTCCAGGGCTGGAAGAGCAACCTTAAAACCTTTTTCAGCTGTGCTGATAAGCTAGAATTTCTCCTTTACGCAGAAGAACATGGGGTGGCCTTTGTTTTGAGAAACACCGCCCTCTGGCGGCACATTTTGCAACACCAACTTGTGGTCATATTTCCTTTGTTGTCGCTGTAGCTCCACCTCGTTCAGAATTGAGTGACTCGTTACTTACTGGGTCCCTGTATGTCAGGCACTGGGCTTGGTTCTGGAATTCAGTAGGGAATTCCTGCCTCCACGGAGCTGACGTTCTAGTTAAGGAGGCTGGCAAGGTATGGAAAGTCACAGGACGGTACTGAGGTTGTGACCCTAGGTCTAGACCAGGCGTGGTGACAGTTCTCCGGGGGTATCAGCTGCGTGATGACATCACAGATGTCAGCTACGTGGAAAGAACATGCCTAGAGTGGCGTCTGCCTAACTTGCTGCAAAATCTCTCACCCGCCTGCCAGGGGATCCCCGTGGACGGCTGGGGCTTCCCCTTGGTCCAGCCACCCGGCCAGTGACTGAATCTGGTCGGCAGTCTCCCTGCAAGGTCGTCCAGCCACTCTTGGATCACTTCCAGGGACATGAAACTCATTTTTTTTTCTAGTAAGTTTTCCTGCTGTAGGTCATACTCTGTCGCCTGGACAACTGCAGTATCCTGACCCCCACCCAGCAGCTAGAGACCGCCCGTTAAAACCTCAAATGTGATCATGTCACTCCTCTGCTCCGAACCTGGCAGTGGCTTTTCTTTTCTTTTTTTTTTTTTTTTAATAATTCAAAGTTTTTATTTTTGGTTGCACTGGTCTTTATTGCTGTGGGTGGGCTTTCTCTAGTCGCGAGCAGGGACTTCTCATTGCCGTGGCTTCTCCGGTTGCAGAGCACAGGCTCTCGGGAGCTCGGGCTTCATTAGTTGCGGCTCTCAGGCCTTAGAAGGTGGGCTCAGCAGTTGAGGTGCTCAGGCTTAGCTGTTCCGAGGCATGTGGAATCTTCCCAGACCAGGGCTCGAACCCATGTCCCCTGCATTGGCAGGCAGATTCTTTCTTATCCACTGGGCCATGCGCAAAGTCTAGCAATGGCTTTTCTTCACGCTTAGAATAAAATCCAAATTCCTTACAAGAGCCATCAAGACTCTGTAGCTATCATGCCTACCTCTCTCTCTGACATTATTTTTTTGCCATTTTCCTTCCTGACTTTTACGCTGTAGCCATGCTGGGCTCCTCACTGTCCCTCCAGCATCCAACCTGGACCCTGCCTCAGGGCCTTTGCACTGCCTGCTCTCTCTGGAACCTGTCCCCTCGGACACCTACACAGCTTCCTCCCTCACCTCCTCAGATGCCCTTTGTCGCGGAGGCCCTCCTTGACCCCTCTATCTGAAATAGGTTCTCATCACCCTATACCCCCACCCCTCTTATTCTGCTTCGGATTTTCTCAGAGCATGGATCGCTAGTTGAAATTACATCATATATTGTATGGTTTCTTTCCTTTTTTGGCCGTACCGTGTGGTTTGCAGGCTCTTAGCCCCCCGACCAGGGATCAACCTGTGGCCCCTGCAGTGGAAGCACGGAGTCCTAACCACTGGGCCTCTGGGGAAGTCTCCGTATTGTTTCTTGTCTGTTTCCCCCACTGAATGTCAGCTCCTCCAGGGCAGGAGATTTTTCTGCTTTGCTCTCTGTGTTCCCAGCACCTGAGTCAGTGCTTGGCACTTAGGAGGCCCTTTATAGTCGTTGAATAAATGCAGAGAGTTCCCTGTCATACTGAGCATTTGCTGTCTTCCTGGAGCTTCACATCCGTTGTCGCAGGAATCCTGGGAGACTGCAGTTGGGATCCAAGCTTGAGAGACTCCAGCGTCTTAGCTCAGCTCAGATATTCAGTCTCCTTCAGCCCCACTTGCCTGTTCTGAGAGATGGATTTGACAATAGTGCAAATACGTACATATTCGTAGGAGTTAGGGTTCTGGCGAGCGACAGATGGTATGCCCAGAAGAGCTGAATGGAACCGAATTTGACAAGGGCTCTGTTCGTGATGGTGGGGGCAGGGGAGCAGAAGGAGAGAGAGATACAGGAGCCCAGTGAGGGCGGGGCCCACGGCTGTGGGTCCCCCCCAAGCAGGAGTGAGGATGAGGCAGGTGTCGGGGTGATAAACACTGGGGCAGCTCCGTCCTCCTTGCGGGCGCCCCTCATTGATGAAACTCAATCAGCAGCCAGGGGCCCCGGGGGCCTCTGGGATGCACAGGTTTCCTGGGGGGCCGAGGGCCCAGAGAAGGGTGCTAAGGCTGCTGTGACGATTACACGAAGTCTGGGCTGTGGCTTGCCTGGTCCAGCAGTGGTGACGTAATTGATGCCGTTATTAGATGGATGTTGGGAGCAATAGATGACTGTTAGGCTGCAACACATGATTTCCTCCCTGCCCCTCACCCTCCCCCCTTGCTCTGAACATTTCAGCTCTGCTAAGCACTGAGATCCGTGCAAGGAGTATGCAACTTCCTGAGTTGCTAGAAGCAATACTGTTTTTATAACACAGTCACCTCCGTCCCTCAGTTCAAGGAAGCACACTTTTGTTTTTTCTTCACATTTTCAAGCCGCTGAAATAGGCCATGTGTCCCCGCTGGTGAGCGTTGTTCATGAGGACAGACCTGGTCTTTCTTGTTCCCTGTGGTGTCTCCAGCACTAGGACAGTGCCTGACTCACGGGAGATGCTGGGGAAATATTTGGGGGATGAGGGATCTAATTCTGACATTTGCAGTGCCCTGTGTGAGCACGTGTGTGCGTGTGCATGAGTGCGCATGTGTGTGCGTGCATGAGTGTGCAATGTATGTGTGTATGAGTTGACTGTCGAGGTGTCTCAAGAAAGGCTTGACAATTTCTGGTCAAAAAATTGTCTCCCTGAGGAATGTCTGGGAAATCTTGTGTTTTGGCCAAACGGCCTTCCCCGTCGGGTTTGGCCCAGTCCCGCCCTGGGGCTATGAACTCGAATGAAAAAGCTGAAGGTCTCGAAGGCCGGATCATCAGATGTGAGGGGTTCTGCTTGGGGGAAAAGGGGGCAAGACCTGGGCACTGCCCAAACACCACAGGAGTTGTCCTTGGAGATGCCACCTTGTCTTCCAGCAGACTCGTGCGTCATGGCAGAGCGGGGCAGCTGGAGTCGCTGTGTCAAGCCCTGCCAGGTCTGTTACCGCGTCCGCAAGAGGCAGGTCCTGCCGCAGCCAAGGAATGGCGTGCCCCTTGACCCCGCTTGGAGGACCGGGCTGGCTGCGTGGGTACGGGAAGCACCAGGGAGTGGAGTGCCGGCTGTCCTTGAGTGAGTGGGGACAGCCCCTGGGGCAGCTGTCGCAGGGAACAGCCTGGTTGAACTGTAGGGCCCTCCATAAGTTCCCATATAGGGGCTGAGTTTAGGGTGGGACTGTCTTTCCTTGCCCTGATCCCCCTCCTCACCCTGTGATTGAAGTAAGAAGTTCTGACTTTCTCTAAGCATCTTGATGTCTTCTTCCTTCTCATCTCTCCGTGTGAGTCAGTTATGGCTTTGTTTAGATGAAGATGATAGGAAACCCACCTTAAACTGACCTGAGCAAAAAAAAAAAAAATGGGTGAATCAGGTCTGCATTCAGGCATGGCTGGGTCCAGGAGCTCAAACAATGTTGCCGGGACCCACTCTCCATCTCTCAGTTCTGTTTTCATCTGAACTGGCCTCATTTTCAGACAAGCATTCCCCCTGTAATAGTCTTTGATAGCTCCAGACTTCCCTGCAACCACTCTAGCAGATGGAAGGGAAAGCCTCTTTCTCCTTAGTTTCAGCAAACGTCTTAGGATGAATTCTCATTGGCTTGACCTGGGTCCTGTGTCCACTGCCGAGCCAATCAGTAGGACCAGAGTGATGGAATAGTCTGATTGGCTACGCTGGGGACACGTGTTTCCTTTGATGCTAGAGGGGTGGGTCAGCCCCATCTGAACGAGAGTAGGGGAGGGGTGTTCTCCAAAGGAAAACTGGGGGGAATGGACGCAGGGGAGACAAAGCAACAGATGTTGGCCATATTACACGTACTGATAAAATGCTTTTATCTCACTACCAAAAAATAGGTGATGCTCATTTCACAACTGAAGAGGCTGACGGAGAGAGTGATGCCTTCAGGGCTTTTCCTGAAGGGATGGAAGTGCAGGCTAAACTGTTCCCTCCCAATATCTTCCCATGCCACAGCCTGGCAGGGAGTGCAGCACACATCTTACCCTGGTGTCTGCCTCCTGCTTGAAATTCCCCAGGAGGTGCTCGGTGCCCTCAGGGTGATGCCCAAACTCCTCTGTGGCTACGAGCTCAAGTGCTTTGGCTCTCACCTCTTGTGGCCTCATCTCCTTCCTCCTCCTGTCTGTGTTTTGAAAGGATGATTCTGACCCCCGTGAGGGACAGCGGATGGAAAGGGGTCAGAGGGCAGCGGGGAGGCCCACCACAGTGGTGCGGGCAGGAGAGGGTGCTGTCTGGATCAGGGTGGTGGCAACGGGGTGAGGAGCGAGGGAGCCTGAGATCATTTCCTCTGCCTGACATCCTCCTGCCTCTGCTTTGCCGCCCGTGTCTAACTGGCCTGGTTCTTCATTTCCTGCACAGATGTCAGATTTCTCCAGGAAGATTTCCTGACTGCCCCTACTGTCGGCCACGTACTCTGCCCCATTTCTTGACTCTGTGAGGCCAATGTTACTCTGCATTTTACAGAGGGGGATACCAAGGCTCAGGCCGGCGCAAAACTTACCTGAGATACATGGTTCATCGTGTATCATTTTATTCAACTCTGACAATCAGTGTATGGTATAGGTTCTAGCATTATACCCATTTTGCTGATGAGGAGACTGAGTCTCACAGAGGACCAAGATCACTCTACTATAAGAGGGAGAGCTGGAACCAGAATCCAGGCTTCTCTGGGACTCTCCTTAATGCTCTAGGCTACATGAAAAGCAGCATTAGAAGAGAAGATAAGTTGTGTATTAAGTGTATCACCTTCTCTAGATGACAAGCATTAATTAGTTCTTTGATAAGAACTAATATCTTTGATTCAGTTCCATCACTCAGGGACTGGGGAGGGGTAGGAACTTCCTCTGGCTTCTTTTTTCATAAAGAATCAACATCCTCTCCTGGACTGACTCAATTCTTCTCTGTGCTCTCGGAAGGAAGGTATTTGGAAGCTGGCTCAACAATTAGTTACTTGCATTAATTTATTCATCCACCCATACCCCTGTTCCCCTTTCTTCCATCCTTCCATCTTCCCACCCATTCATTCCTCTGTCATCTGACTCTTTCACCCCTTCATCTATCCATCCCCCTATCACCATCGATCCACCCCCCATCACCTCTCATCCATCCTTCTTCCCACTCACCATCTCTGTCTCCCTCCTTTTCCCCATCCTCCCACCTTCCCATGTACTCATCACCCAACCATTCTTCCTCTTCTGTGTCGTTTCAGTCACCCATCCATCCTTTCAGTTGTCAGCTCACCTCTTTTTCACTCACTCACTTGTTTATCCATCAAGATCATTCACTTGAAGAACTTCTTGTTGAGACCCACTGTTCCACCCACTGTGCTAGGCTGTGAGTCTCAGAGATAAATGCAGTTTTGCCTCCATCGTTGCATAAGGGTCCTTGTGGGGACCATCTACCTGGTTACACGACTCCGCAGGCTCCTTAGGGCTGCCATAGACATGACTCAGGCACTAGAAGTACCTAATTCTTCCTGGGGTGTCACAGCCTTGGGGGGGGGCGGTGCTGGAAAAGCTGGGCTACTTAACTCTGTTTCCTCCTTGGCCCACGGTCCCTGCTCTGATAACCACAGGCAGCTGTGGGAAAGAGCGAGAAAGCTGAAATGTCACCAAGAACCAGGAATTAATAGAGTAAGTGGAAGCAACTGAACCTCAAATCAGCTTCAAATTTGTGACCATTTCCCCTTGGATTAGACTTTCATTCTGTCTCTGTCTTACTTTGGGAGCTTTAACATCTCCCCGTTTTGTGTCCTGTTACGTTTGTAAACTCATGAGCAGGAACTCTGCAGTCCCTAATGACTGGTCTCTATTCAACTTCATTCATTCATTGATTCACTCAGTGTTTATTATTTGCATGACAGGTACTGGGTTTAAGCCTTGGCTTACAACAAGGAGCAAAAAAGTACGGAAATACTTATTTTCATGGAGTTGGCCTCAGAGGAGGCAGACAAGGAAAAAATAGATAGCCTGTCAAATGCTGCTAAGTGCCATGGAGAAAAATAAAATAGGAAGAGGGTTGTGTGCTAGAGACATCTTTACTGGGAAGGTGATATCTGAACTAAGCTATCGGAGAGGTTACCTGGGGGAAGAGTGTGGTTGGACGAAGGACCAGCAAGTGCGAAGTCCTGAGGCAGGGCTCGCCTGGTGTGTTCAAGGCTGGATTCAGGAAGAGTGAGAGAGAGTAGGAAATATGATATATCGGTGGGTGGTCAGATCATACAGGCACTATAGGCTGTGGCAGGAAGTTTCTCTGCATGAGATGGGAGTCGTGGGAGGGTTTGGGGCTGAGGAATGACAGACTCTGACTTAGGTTTTCGCAGGATCCCTTTGGCTGCTATTTGGAGAACTGATCTCAGAGAGGCGAGGTGGGAATTAGGGAGACCAGTGCAGAGGCTACTGCGATATACTGTCCACACGAGAAATGAAGGTGGTTCGGGCCAGGGTGGAAGCCCTACACCTTTGAAGGGTGGATTTCAGGGATGGGTCAGGTGGTGTGTCGCTGATGGTGGTGAAGAGGCCAGGCTTCTAGGACAGTGCCTCATACACGTGACTGTTCAACAACTATCAGTTGAAAGAGTAAGGTCTGAACGAAGGCAGTGCTAAGGGTGATGGCAAGGGCAGTCCTGTTAGTCAGGATTCCTTTCATTTCAAGGGACAGAAACTCAGCTCAAACTGGCTCAAGGGAAAAGGAGAATTATTTATATCACTGAGAGGGAGGTTTTCAAATAATATCATTTCAAGCCTGACTGGAGCCAAGAGGTCAAATATTATTGAGACTCCATCTCCCCACTTTCCCTGCTTCATATATTGGCTTCATTCTCAAGCAGCCCCTGGAGCTGCCAAGCTGCCCCCAGCAACATCCCCATATCCTCCCAGCATAGTGATCCCAGCTGGAGGAGTCCTATTTCCCAATCTCAGCATCATTTCTGGAGGAGAGAGCTGGGTCCTGCTTGGATCCCAGCCCCATCCGTGAATCAATCAATCACCATGATCCAGGGGACGGGACCTCTGATTGGTCAACTTCAATCATATGTCCATGCTAGGGGAGGTGTGGGGAGCCAGGACTAGGATTGCCCCTCCAAGACCACATAAGGTGAGGACAAGGGTTCCCCCAAATAAACCACCAAAAGGCGAGAGAAAGCGTGTTGGGGAGGTGAAAGTTGCAATTATCACAGGCTCCTGGTATGAGACGGGGCTTCCCTGGTAGCTCAGCTGGTAAAGAATTGCCTGCAATGCAGGAGATCACGGTTTGATTTCTGGGTCAGGAAGATCCCCTGGAGAAGAGATAGGCTACCCACGCCAGTATTCTTGGGCTTCCCTGGTGGCCCAGACAGTAAAGAATCCGGCTGCAATGTGGGAGACCTGGGTTCGATCTTTGGGTTGGGAAGATCCCCTGGAGAAGGAAAAGGCTGCCCACTCCAGAATTCTTGCCTGGAGAATTCCATGGACAGAGGAGCCTGGTGTGCAGCGGTCCATGGGGTTGCAAAGAGCCGGACATGACTGAGCAACTTTCACTTCACTGGTAAGAGACAGATTCCTAAGGAGTTCTGGGGGGAAGCTGAGAGCAAAGTGCTCTGGGCTGGCTTTGGGCTGTTCCCAGAAGAAAACTGTCAGATCTTTGATCCTTCCAGAGGCTGCAGCAGGGGGCACCTCGTGCCAGAAGGGGGCAGCAGGCCCACACAGTCATCCCTGGGTTCTTGACAAGTTGCATCTCCTCCAGCAGGGGGCGCCATTTACTGCTGCTTGGAGAAAAAGTTGGGTCTAAGTAAAATTTTGGCAAATTCAGTCTTAACTCAGAACCTCTCCCCTTGTGGCTCAGCTGGTATAGAATCCGCCTGCAATGCAGGAGACCTGGGTTCGATCCCTGGGTTCGATTCCTGGGTTGGGATGATTCCCTGGAGAAGGCAAAGGCTACCCACTCTAGTATTCTGACCTGGAGAATTCCATGGACTGTATGTATGGTCCTTGGGGTCTCAAAGAGTCGGACACAATTGAAGGACTTTTTTTTTTCCCCAGACACTCTAGAATGGGAGAATTATTTAAGTAATTTTCATGGTGAATCTTTTCTATAAAGTGATATATTTTGCAAAGCGCTTTGGAGTGCTTATTGAGGCTTTTGGGATGAGGTAGTTCTATTTTAGGTCCTACCATTTATTATCTGTCTGTCTCTGGGCAAGTTATTTTGTTGGTCCTCAGTTGCCTGTTCTGTAAACTGGGGCCAACATCTACTTGGCACAATTTCCCTCTTCCATGGGACCAAATGATTCATTTCTCCACTTTTTATCAAGCCAGATCCTGGTCTAGGACTTGGACACAACAGTGAACGGAACAAATCAAACTTCCTGCCTTTGTGGAGCTGCCATTCCCGTGGGGGAGACAGAGGAGAAATAAATGATATGGTCTTTTGGATGCGCTGTTTGAAGAAGTGGCTCCTGGAAGCCCTCCCTTGTACGTTACCTGTTGATGCGGGTTGAGTGGCCCCAGAAGCCTCTGTAGCAGGGAGAAATTGTCCCAGCCCAAGCCTACATAGGGTGAGGTACACAGTAGGCGCTCCAGAAATGCTCCCAGGTCTTTGAGGCGGTGTCTTCCTGTGTGGCTGCTGGTCCTGTGTCCGGCTCCAGCTGGGGCCTGTTCCGGAGAGCTGCCAGCAGGTGAAGGAGCCCCACGCCCAGGGGGTGAGGTCTCTGACCCAGTGCCACATAATCCGTGTGACGTGTGAGTGGCCTGCCCAGGACGCCAGGAGCGGGCACGGCTACGGGGTTGGCGCTGAGCCTGGAGGGTAAGCAGGGGACTTGGGCCTGGGCAAGTGTGACTCTAGAGCCTGGGGCCTCTCTGCTGCCTGAGACGTGAAGGTGGGAGGGGGTGGGATCCTGTTTTCTGGCCAGGGCAGGAGGGCCCAGGAGGGTCCTGATCCCAGTGTCCGAGGAGAAGCAGCTCCTGCCATTCCCAGCTGTGTGACCTTGGGCAATTGTATGACCTCTCTGAACTTCAATTTCCTTGTCTGAAAGTACAGATAATCAGAGGACCTCCCCATGGGGCGATGATGAAAGTGAAATGAGATTGTGCAAGTTGAAGATTTGGCAGAGCTCTTGACATCTAGAAAAGGGAGCTGGTTTGATGGTTGACTTCTCAGAATTCCCTTAAACGCTATGTTTGGTTCCCCTCATGTTATAGGTGGGGAAACTGAGGCTCAAAGAGGCATTGTGACTTAGTCAGTTCCCACAGGATTTGGCTGTTATTATCTCCCAAGCTCCTCCCACAAGGGCAGATGTTTTGGAAAGCACTTAGTATTACAATAGTAGCTAACATTTATTGAGTGCTTATATGTGCCAAGCATTATTCGGTATTCATCCATTCATTCATTTAACAAGTATTTGTTGAGCACTTACTATGGTTTCAGGCACAGGGGAAATTCAGTGAGCAAAACAACTGTGGTCCCTTCTCTTGGAGACACATTCTGCTGTGAGGAGGCGGACAAGAGGCAAGTAGGTCTGTGATTTGTCAGATGGGAGATAAGCGTCAGGGAAAGAAAGCACGATTGGGGAAGTTCTGGGGATATTTATTATTTATTTTTTTAAAGGAGGGTGACTCTAAGGAGGTGGCATTTGAACAGAGGCCTGAAGGCAGTGAGGGAGGGAGCCATGGGGATGTTTGGGGGAAGGGTATTCTAGGCTGAAGGAACAGCTGGTGCAAAGGCCCTGAGGTGGGAGTATGCCGCCATTGAGGCTGGTGTGGAATGAGCAAGGGGGAATGGGGATAGCCCAGAGTGAATACTTTCAGGATCCTCTTTCTCTAGAAGAGGAGACTGATTCACAGACAGGTGCCCAAGATCACATACCTGGCAAAAGGCAGAATCAGGCTTTGAACCTAAATTCCCACTAATGTGCTTTTCCAGTGCAGGGATTATTATCCTGTAGGAATGAGTCCCCTCTGGGGTCTGTCCAGGGAGTTCTGTTTCTAAGGGTGTTAGTTTCCTGCCTTTTGAAACTGAGCAACCCTGCTCGTTATAAACCTAGAGCAGGGGAGGCTGAGGCCAGATCGGGTGTTAGGGGCAGATGTATCTGAACAAGAGGCATTGGGACTGCACAGGTCCAGGTGCAAACCCCACTTCTGGTCCTGACAGTCCCCATCACTTGCACTGCAGGAAAGATCCTGAGACCTTTGCACAGCACCTGGCTCCTCATAGATGCTGCCTAGTGGAAGCTGCTATTGTCATGTTTAACCTATAAAATGGGTATAATAATATGTACTTTGTGAAAATGAAATTTAATAAATGTGACAAACCTGGCACATAATAGGTGTCAAATAAATAAATGGCATACAACAGGGAGGTCCTCTTGACCAACCTTACTCCAATCTCTATCCAGCACTATTTACTCGTCCTAGACCTGAGATTCTACCATTAGAGATTCATTCTTTGGGCTCGATGCTTGCTTATTAGAGCCTCAATTTACCTATCCGTCTTTGAATAGACACTGCTAGCCCTAGAACTCTGATTAATCCCAAACCTCTCTTTTTGGAAGCACATACTCCGGGAACATGGCACTTTGGTGAGCTGAGATGAGGGTCCTAGGAACCCCTGCCTCCACCAGGCATCACGGGCTGGGATGGAGATCAGAGCCAGGGCTGTGGCAGATATGGACACCTCTGCCTGTCCCCGCCCCAGGCAGGCCAGGCCCACAGAGCAGGTGACAGAAGGTCTGACTGGGGCATGAGCTCACCACACAGGACTGGGCAGAGGAGGAAGATCAAAGGGAGGATGGAGATGAGCTGCCAGCCAGATTCTTTCCACAGGCAGCTGGCGAGGGTGGGAGCTGGGGAGGGTTAGCCTGCTGGGTGGGGAGTTTAGGAAGGTTTATTCAGCAGGAGAAATGTTTCTGAGTTTGGGACAAGCAGAAGGACACCCACCATACTCAAGTACCCACTACGTACTGGGTACCAATGGGGTGCTTTGTCTGTGAGCTCTTATTTAAGCCTCACACGCCCTTTGGAGACAAGGGACATTAGTTCTAGTTTGTATTCTGAGCATAGCAATAATAATGGTAACTTTAAATGCTATCCATCGTGAAGTGTCTATGAAGTGCCAGGCACTGTGATTAGAAGCTTATAACAGTGCCTGGCATATAACACAATCTCACTATGTTATTCCTGTTATTTTTTTGCATTTTTAAAGATGTGAATTATACCTACAGTGGCTTCCCTGGTGGCCCAGACAGTGAAGAATCTGCCTGCAATGAAGTAGACCCAGGTTTGATCCCTGGGTCGGGAGATCCCCTGGAGAAGAAAATGGCAACCCACTCCAGTGTTCTTACCTAGAGAATCCTATGGACAGAGGAACCTGGCGGGCTACAGTCAGTGAAGTCACAGAGTCAGATATGACTGAATGACTAACACTTTTGCTTTTCATACCTACAGAGAACTGGCTAAAACATATGAACCAGGTTCATAAATGTTTGCAAAGAGGACACATCTGGGTCGTTAGGACCCAGGCAAGGGATAGAATCTGGCCAGCCCCCCAGTCTCCCCAGAATCCTCCCCCCGAACCACAGTCCCTCCCTCCCTATAGAGAAGACCACCATCCTGACTTTATGGTAGTCCACTGTACAGTTTTCTTTATAGCTTTACTCAACCCAGTACAGATCCCTAAGCATTAGAGTTTAATTCCACCCCCCCACCAAAATTCACATAAATGAAATGATATAAGAAATACCTTTAGAATTCAGTTTCTTTTGCTCAGTGTGCGGTTTGCAAGCTCTATCTGAGTGACTGCCTCGTGGCCTTGGATTGTTCATTCTTGTGGCGGAAATGGTCAGCTATCATTCTCATGATCGCGGTTTCACTTTGCACATCACATCTCATCATACCCTCCCAGCACTTCAGAGGGGCAGAGATTATGGTTGTGTGTGTGTTAGTTGCTCAGTCATGTCTGACTCTTTGCGACCCCATGGACTGTAGCCTGCTTGGCTCCTCTGTCTGTGGAATTCACCAGTATCCACTAAGAATACTGGAGGGGGTACCATCCCCTCCTCCCGGGGCTCTTCCTGACCCAGGGATCGAACCCAGGTCCTCTGCATTGCAGGCAGTCTCTTTACCATCTGAGCCACCAGCGAAGCTGTATGGCTGTGTCTGCTACTCACCAAAGAGCCAGAAGCTCCCAGCAGCTGGGTCACGGACTCCCCCCACCCGCATGCCAGAGCCTGTGTTCTTAATCCCTCCACGCTGCTGCCTCCCAGCAGGAGGGAAAGGGGACGCAGGGAGGCTAAGGATATGAGGGGGTCACCTCGTCAGACTCTAAGAGTTCAGTCTGGATTGCCCAGGGTGGCCTCTAGGATCAGCGGTTCTTCGCCCAGTCTGGGGCCAACTTCTCCATCAGGCAAAAAAATACAAACAGGACCCAGTGCCCATATACTTTTAGGCACCACAAAAATGCTTTAATTTTAACCTGTTAAAGTCAGAAGAAATAAGATGTAATAAGAATGAAGATCTGATACGGAATCCGGCCTGGATTCTATTTATCATTATGCAATGCAGTTGTAGACTTTGATTTGAAATATTTTTGCACGAGGAGGGGTCCCTGAAAGCCAATATCCCCGGCGCCCAGGAGAGTCGTGTCGCCACTGAAACAGCCCCGTGTCTTGCAGGCACCAGCTGTTGCCGTGGCAAGCGGCCGGCAACTCCAGCTGCCAAGAGACCTGGGAGAGACGCGGGCAGTTCCAAGACTGTTCCTGCCCCGCGGTTCATGGCTTTGTCTGCCTCTAGCAGCCGTGACCCCCATCTGTCTGGAGCCCCTCTTTCCAAAGCCTCCTTGGGCGGCAGGGAACCCCTCAGGGCTTGGGAGGCCACAGGACGAAGGAGTGGGGAGAAATCAGCAAGTCTGAGGCTGGAGGAACAAGCCTCGTCCTTACGCTGACACTGAAAATAGCTTTGTGTTTCCACTGGGTGCCAGCTGAGTCACAGCCTCACCGCCATCTCCCTCTGGTTCGGGGCTTCCCAAATTTCTTCTCCTAAATACGCTCTTCTCAAGGTTGCCCTATTTTCCTTACCCGTACCCCCCTTTTTTTTTGACCCTGCACTTCATCCCTTTCTTTACTTAAATAAATTATTTTAAAAGGAAACTTATACTTACGTGTGTGTGTTAGTTACTCAGTCGTGTCTGACTCTGACCCCATGGACTCTAGCCCGCTGGGCTCCTCTGTCCATAGAACTCTCCAGGCAAGAATACTGGAGTGGGTTGCCACTGCCTTCTTCAGGGGATCTTCCCGACTCAGGGAACGAACCCGGGTCTCCTGCATTGCAGGCGGGCTCTTTACTCTGAGCCACCAGGGAGACCCTATACTTTTATACTGTGTATAAAGAGGAAAATTTTTTTTTAAATTGCAACTGGAAATTAAAATAGATAATAGTTGCAGACATTTATTAAGTACCTACAGTGTCCCACGCACTGTCCCAGGCTTCTACACATACTGACTCATTGTATCCTGAGTTAGATGCAGTTATTACCCCCATTTTGCATGTGGGGGAACTGAGGCACAGACAGGTTAAGTTACTTGCCCCAGGACACACAGCCAGTGAGTGGCAGAGTGGGGATTTGAAACCCATGAGCTACACCTACTGCTCAGATTTTCTGCCCTAGCAGTACATCAGCTCCACGAGGGCAAGGGTTTTGGTCTTCTTCCCCGCTGTGTCCCCTGTGGCTAGAATAGCGTCTGTCACACAATAACACTTAATACATATTTACTGAGTAAATGAAACGAACAGGTGAACAATCAGTTGCCATAA